GGGAATTACATCATTATGCATACCAGCAGCATATTGAAGAGAATTGGAAACATTAAATGTTTGTTTTGTTATAGCAGAAAAAATTGTAATATCTTATTGATTTTCAGAGTCAATGGTGTAGGGATAGAGAGGAAAGAGGTAAAAGATATCAGAAAAAAATGGTCTGATTTTGCGAGCTGCACCAAGAAGAAGGAAGCGGAGAGGAGGAGGGAAATCAACAAGACTGGTGGTGGGGGGTTGCAAATCACACTGACTCCAATACAAGCAAAGGTAAAATAACCTTTCGCAAAATTTATTTATTCATTAATATATATATATATATATATTTATTTTTTTTTTTTTACATGCATATATATATAAATTGTTTTCAATCATTACATATAAAATGATTGATGACTTTTATTTGTACTTTTGTTTAGGTTGTGTCAATTATAGGAGAGACAGCAATTAGTGGCTTTCAGGGAGGAATTGACACTTTCCAACAGAGTCAAAATGGCAAGTATACCAAAGTTATCATTCATCTTTTATTTTTATTATTTTAGTATTACATTATATTCAACCATTTTTATGAAAAATTCACATATAATAATTAATAAATGTGAAAAAAATATCAATCTTATTTTTACAGCTCAAACAATCTCTACAAATGATGATGATGAGGATGATGCCCTCAACAGACATTGGCGAATGGAATTTTTGAATGAAAGTAAGTTTTATTATTATACATTCTGTAATCTTTAAAAATAATATTTGAGCTACTCTTTCCTCCTTTATAGACATATGTACAGTACCTTTTAACACTAATACCATCACTATGCATGTTGGCAGTGTTTCTAAATGACAAAGTAAGATGCTGAAGTTGAATAAATGTCTATTCTGGAGATAAACTACATTTTTCAGACATCAACTCAGGGGAATATGACATGATAGTGCCAGGGACAAATGAGGCAAGCCATCTAAGAGAAGAGCCAGAAGGTATTCTATTAATACCAGTAATCTTAAGACTTATTTTTTATATGCATAGAACAATCTTATTACTAATTTTTTAACATAAGTTATTTTTGTTACCAAAATAAATGTTATGTTTTTGTTATTTTTTTCAGAAATCCCAGATACAGTACCACAAAGAAAAATATCAAGGAAGACAAGTAAGAATTTTTAAATATAACTTCAATAATAACCAGAGGAGCACACATAAATTGATGTACACATTAATTGAAATGTGTTCTATAAGCAAATGGTGATTTAAAAAAAAATATGATTTGTATTACATTTTTCAGAGGAATGCAGACTGGACAAAGTGGTAGATGTTGAATCAGAGAAACTGTTGTGTTTAAAGAGATTGGTGGAAATAGAAGAAGAAAAGTTACAGTTGAAGAAGGAAGTGTTTCAATTTAAGAAAATGAAATGGGAGGCAAAGGTGGCCCAAATGAATTTGCAAACAATGCTAGAATGAATGCGAATAAATATTTATTTACATGTGCATGGCTCCTAGTTGTTTTATGCAATAACTTGCAAAATGAAGGGTTTTGAAATTAAATAAAAAATCCCAGTGACCATTTTACTGATTAAAAAAATCTTGGAAATATGAAATGTTGGCGTTTATAACATAAATAGGTAAAAGAGAAATAGATTTTTTAGAGATCATAATAATAATAAACAATTGAATCAAAAATCCAAATTTGTTTAGTAGAATTTATAATACAACAATATAAAAATGAGGCTACTCAAAGAAAATGAAATAAACTTATAAAATCAAGTAATGTAAAAGTTAGAAATGTCACTCCTTCACTCAATTTAAAAAGTCATTTATACAACAGATGTCAAATACGTATCTGCTTTCATCACCAACACGATTCATTGTGAGAAATTGTTAAATTTCAATAATTTTGGCATAGCTTTTCTGAGAAGGTTTGTTGGTGGGTAGTCCTGAAAAGGACAATTTGTTTCCAACTCCCACCGTAATTGGAAAACGGCTTAGAGGAGGACTGCCTCTAAGCAAAGCGCTCATTAATGAGTCGCTCACGACACTGGACCCCATCGGCTGGGTACTCTCCCAGAGGCACATCTTGACAGTTGTTGACACACGCGTCCACCTCAACATCAGGCATCCCTTCCCTGATGCAAAAATTGTGAAGCCTGCAACATGCCAGAATGATGTTGGCACTTGCCTCTGGGGAATACATCAGGCACCCTCCTGACTTGTGAAGGCACCTGAAAGCATTGTAAAATAAAGTATTGTTGAAGGCAGATTATATCTATTATTTTTTTGTGAAAAATGACATGAAATATGATGATAATAACTATGATGATACTAGGAACAATAAATTAATTGTTAACTTTTACAATATTGTTGAAGGCAGATTGATAATAACAGTAATAATACTAGGAATGATAAAATAAATGTTTTAACTTTTAGATAGAGAAATAAATAACACACAAAGAAAGACATGCATAAAACTAAATTACATTACTAACACATAAAAAAAATCACCTGAAGCGGCTCTTTAGAACACCAAAAGCACGCTCAATGAGATTACGCGTCTTCATATGTGCCGCATTGTATGCAGCATCCGCAGTTGATGCCACATGTAATTTTGGTGTCATCAGCCAAGGCCTCAACACATAGGCTGAATCTCCGAGGATAAACCCAGAGGGCATGTCCCCTGACTCAAATGCAGTCCCCAGGCCAGACTGCCTCCATACAAATGAATCATGTGTGCTGCCTGGAAACTGGCACACAACATTAGTAAACCTGAAAAATAAAGCAACACTTAGTTTCTATGTCAAGTAACTTTCATAAATCGGTCAAAATTTACAGTTTTTCTACTATATTTATCATATAAAAAATATCACAAATCAAATTGTCTGGGCTTTTAATATTAGTATAATATATTAATATAAGTTTTTTCTAAATGTAGATCTTTGTAAATATGAATAAAAAAGGTTCTACTTACAAGAGACGGGCATCACACACTGCCTGAACATTAATGGCATGATACCCCTTCCTACACACGTACAAGTATTCATCATCATGGGGAGCCAGTATGGGGACCATGGTTCCATCCAGGCATCCCAGAACTCTGGGAAACCCAGCGACCCTGAAGAACTCTTGCTGTGTTCTTCTCACATCCACTGGGTCATGTGGGAAAGACACAGCAAGTTCAGGGTCGTCTGATGCAGCGATTGCAGCTGCCACAGCAGAGATTGCCCTTGAAGCCGCCGGCTGACTGATACCGTGCAGGTCACCGATTGCTGACTGAAAGGTCCCAGTGGCAAAAAACCTTAAGGCAGTCAGAACCTGCTGCAACGGTGTCAGTGCCTTTGACCTCTTGGTTGGTCTCTCTAGGCCACCTCCAATCAACTGCACCAGTTTCTGGATCCCCCGTCTGTTCAGGCGATACCTGGATACAACCTCCTCGTCAGTCAATGAGTCCAAAGGATCGCTACGGCGCTGCGCCACCACTCTCCTTCCATTTCTTCCTCGTCCGAGTAGCAGAAGATACGCAGCCANGCCAGTATGGGGACCATGGTTCCATCCAGGCATCCCAGAACTCTGGGAAACCCAGCGACCCTGAAGAACTCTTGCTGTGTTCTTCTCACATCCACTGGGTCATGTGGGAAAGACACAGCAAGTTCAGGGTCGTCTGATGCAGCGATTGCAGCTGCCACAGCAGAGATTGCCCTTGAAGCCGCCGGCTGACTGATACCGTGCAGGTCACCGATTGCTGACTGAAAGGTCCCAGTGGCAAAAAACCTTAAGGCAGTCAGAACCTGCTGCAACGGTGTCAGTGCCTTTGACCTCTTGGTTGGTCTCTCTAGGCCACCTCCAATCAACTGCACCAGTTTCTGGATCCCCCGTTTGTTCAGGCGATACCTGGATACAACCTCCTCGTCAGTCAATGAGTCCAAAGGATCGCTAGGGCGCTGCGCCACCACTCTCCTTCCATTTCTTCCTCGTCCGAGTAGCAGAAGATACGCAGCCATCGCTATCTTTGTTATGATATCATCGGTGCTGAATAGTACCCATAGTATGACCTACCACGCATGCGCATTTAGTTTCGACGAGCTTTCGATGAGCTTTCGACAACGCTGAGGCTGTCGAAATTTTCATCGAAAAATTCGTTAACAATTTCGATGAAAAAATTTTCGATAGCTTCCAGAATACCGATTTTTCGGATTCGATTAGGATTCGATGAAAAATTCGTTTTCGATAGCTTCGAGAATACCGCCCTTGATCTAAAGTAGGAATTTTCAGAAATTAAATTTGGCCATGAAATTGGCCATGAAATCACCACTATGATATAATAAAGAATATATTTTGTGTTGCAGACAGAAATTGTTATCGTTGTTGTTTTTGCTTATAATTTCATAAAGTTAATCACTTACTTTAAAATAAAAAAAATTAATTTTGGGCCTATGCAGGGCCAATAAGCTGGTTGGCATAATTACAATGGGCCAACGTCGGCCCAACATCATAACCCTGACTCTGGGCCACCATCGGGCCAACCATTACCCACCATCGGGCCAACGTCGGCCCATCATCGGGCCAACGTCAGCTGGTTGGCAAAACGACGTTGGCCCGACGTCGGGCCAACAGATGGCCGATGAGCACGGACGTCGGCCCGACGCCGGCACCTGCGCTGGCCCGACGTCGGCCCAGTGCACTGGTCGGCCTTACGACGTTGGCCCGACGTCGTTAGGCCAACCATGCCGACGTTGGCCCAGCGTCGGGCCAACGCCTTGTTGCTATCTGGGCCGCCAATCAAATTTAAAGCCCGCACTCAATGACTCATTGAACGATCTAGCCAATGAACGCGAACGAGTCAAAGCGCGCTTTGTTCAAATCCGGACCAATCAAAGATAAGGCTGAATATCAGGGACTTGCCGTAACCTGTGGGCAGCACGCAAAATACATCATCCCTCAGTAGATAATGATGCAGGGCATCATACTGCTCTGGTTTCAATTCCGATATACTCCATGCTTTCTTTGTGTACGGTTATGCACTCGGAACCACTCGGAACTACTCGGATGTCTCCGCACTCGACAATAACTATGTTGTTAGTATGGAGCTTGCGGAATCAGCCGAGGATTGCCGATTGACGATCAACCAATCAGCGTTTTCACCAAACTTTGGTGAAAAATTTTGAAACATGGATTCGATTGGCTTATATAAAATAGGTCAAACTATTTTCGTCAGAGGTTACTTGACACGATGGAGATAGGCTACAGTGAAAAGGTTAGTGTCAAGTTAGCTCTGAAGCTCAGGGTGAGCACTGCTAACACAACGCCCAATTTGAGCAAATAGAGCATTTAAGGACCTTCGCATTTAGAGTGATTACCATTAAAAGTAAAATAAACGTAGCCTACTTGAAAATATTCTAAAGTCAATTTTTTCCCAAATATCCTGCAAAGCTACTAGTAATCCTACTTGTAGGCCTACTTTACTTTTATAGACTGCGCTATCTAGAGACTATGCTTATATTAGATGCGCGTTAATTTTTTCTAAAACGTTCCAAATTTTTTCCCAATTTCAAGTATATTTTCTCAATGCCTGGTAACGAAGGTGTTGCAATTGGCTTCCTAACAGAGTGCAGAATATTTGATTGTGCCCTGTCAACATACTTTAGGCCTATTGTCTAGCTAATCATGAGGGCCAGCTGGGAAGGGGGGGGGGAGTGATCACATTTCACAGCCGCGGAAAATATCATCAAATCACAAATTACAAATTACATAAATTGAATTAGAATTTTATTCATATCTCATTGAAAATGCGAGTCCGGCGAGCTGAAAATAACTATCATCGAGTATAATGACTTCGTTCCACTATATATAAGGACGAGGGATAGAAACCCGCAATTCACGATTCACAGGAATGGGGTGCTTCACATCTCGGGGAATGATAAGTGGATGTTACGGGTAAGGAAAATACCCAACGGGGCCTTCAGTCCTTGTCTTAACTAAAATGAAGATTTAATCAATGTCTATAATATTTCAAAACATTATTTAAAGTAACTAAAATTAATGATCTGGAGAAAAAATACGTCACGAAGGATTTTCAGCTTTTAAAAGTAGCTGCAAGTTATTTGTTGCGTTATTTAAGATAAACATTCTAGACATTTTCTGAGACGTTAAATATTAAACTTGCTTCCAAACAAGTAGGCCTACCTTATTTTTCTAATTTATTGAAAATAAACTTATAGGCAAATGTGAGATGGAGTTGCGAGTGACAGTAGAGATTCGAAGGTCTAAAATGAGTCTGCATTTCGTGTTTTGAATATGATTAGCACAGTGCTGAGCTAACTTATGCAACAATTTTCGTGTGCATTTAAAGACTCATGATCACTAAAGGAAGAGCGAGAGACAAAATGTAGTTATTATTCATCTATACAACGTACCTCCGACCGTGTTGGGAGTTCGACCCCCTTGAGGACTCAGATGATAGCTGTCGTCAATACTGCTTTTAAATAGCGTAACAAACGCGATCGTTCTTTGTTCTCATATCATAAACAGGAATCTTTCTTTAAAAAATTATTAAAGACATCCTAACATTTTATACATATCTGTGAATATCTAGTGAAAACTCCATCTGTGACTGACTCTCTCTCTCTCTCTCTCTCTCTCTCTCTCGTTGTCTCTGGCCGAATTCACAACCAGTTGATCCTCGGACCAGAATTTATGATAATTTTAAAACTGTTATGACTGATAAATGAAACTACATATTTTTCATTCGCCCGCATCTTCCGTATCTTTAGGAAAAAAATATATTGAAAACGCATCTGTAAAGATTAACTCTGAAGAGATGAAAAAAATGCCCGAGCTTTCGGCTTGTGAACCTTCTTCAGGTACCAAAACAAGAATAAACAAGCAAACTACTGGTATAAGTGGCGTATGATGCATGTAAAAGGGACACGAAGTTAGAAGTGCGTGATAAAGGTTAACGTCTTGAAGATTACATAATAATAAAACAAGACTAATATTCGTTGAGATATTCATTGTCTCTATAAAGTCCTTTTTTGAAGTGTCTAATATTTTTATGAACTTCTTCTCGACAATCCGTCTTTGTCTTGTGTCGCGTATGTGTCCATTTAAAATGGTGACTGTTTGTACTGTGGTGGTTCTTGATGCGAGCTTTTTTTTCTATCGTTTTCACTTTTAATTACTATTAGTTCTATTACTGTACATAGCTACCAATTATCAGCGCTTTAAGCTTGTACTTTTTATTACAGATACAAGCAAGGCAAGCAAAAAGTCTCTGGCAGTGAATTGTGAACTGTTGCTGCTACCACTCCTACATAAAGTAGATATTGCAAACATACATCGGCACATGAATCAATAAGATATCAGACAACTTTCATGGAAAATAAACTGAAATTAAAGCTGGATATTCTTTTATCTATTATCATTTCGCATTTACGTTAAAT